CCCAGGCGATGCTCTCCTGGGAGGCTGGCGACGCCGAGGGGGCTCAGCCTCGCACCGGGCTTTCTCTCCCTTGGCTGCTCCAGAGGCCAAGCCGGCAGCCTCTCCTTGGGCGTGCGTGCGTGATTTGCAGTACGTGCAAGGGCTCAGGATCCGCGCAGGAGGAGGCAGGCGAGCGCTGCTGGGGCTAAGACGGGGAGGATCCTGGCGAGAACCGCCGCGGGGGGGGGGAGGGGACCAGCGCGCGCCTTTGTCGAGGGAAGGAGGGAAGCGTTCCGGACTACACCGCCCAGAACCTGGCTGCGGATGATGGGCTGTGCAATCCGGAAGACGTAACTTTTCCCTAGCTCGGGTGTGTACACACGGTGAAGTCTTCGCTCCTTCGCGGGGTTCCAGCGCCCACAGAACTCCGCTGACAGCTTTGCAGGGCCAGGCCCGGTATTCTGCTCATGGCGCAGGTGGGAAGGCGGTGAGTTTCTTAAGTTGTCCGGAGGGTTTGCGGAGCTGAGGCTGGAAGGAGGGCGCTGCTTGGAGACGGGGCCGTGCGCAATACCTGTCTAAAATTCTGAGCAGCTAGTAAGAAAAACCAGGCCAGGCCAAACCTCAGCGCTATCGGGAGAGCGCGGCGCTAAAAACCCTCTGCCTTGCGTGGTTTGTTCCGGCTTGGGTATGTGAGGAGCATGTACAATGGCCAGAGGCGAAGCCCAACCTTTGGTCCATCTTGGCCGGGTATTGCCCGAGTTTGACTGGCTGTTTACTCGGGAAGGCTTCAGAGTGGATTCTACTCAGCAGATGATGAGAGAGGCTGGGGGTAGGAGGGAAGTGGGGAATCTTTGGCCTTCCAGATATGGATGAACTACAGCTCCCATCACACCTCACCATTGCCCAGGCCAGATGGAGTTGGAGGGAGCTGAGGAGGGTCTGACTAAGAACCACAAGTTCTCCAGGCCTGTGTAGGAGAAACATTAGTTGCTCGAGACAGGATTCATTTATGTGGAGCCCATAAACGATGCCTGGTTTAAGAGGTAGCACTGCCCAAACCTTCGGATTTGGGGAAGTGGGGTGGAGTATTCGGTTTCTTTTTAACATGGAGACTTTCCATTAGCTGAGATCTTGCCTCACTTAGTTTGTGCAAAAACCTAACTCTCCAAAATAACTGAGCAGATCAACACTGTAGCTACTGGTGGAGCTGGGCCAGGCAGTCACAACCCTAAAAGGCTTTTAGAGAAAAAGGAATTACCTTTGTGGAAAAGCTATGCCATGAGAGAAACCTAGTTTTGCTCCATTTTGCCCACAAATACAAGCACTCCGAGAGCCACAGGTTGGAGGGATGGGGTTATGTGTCCTCAGGACCTTACAGATGGGGCAGGCCAACCTGGCAACGGAGAACAAAGTGTGAACAGGTGTTTGCACATTGCTTTGTGTCAAGTGTTATCACAGGCACTGTCTCATAGATGCCTCTGACCTTTTTCTTCTAAGTGGGAACATGAAGCTTTCAGCTGCATGATAATTTGATTAAAATTTCGTTAAGAGCCAAGGGCCAAGACACTTCAGTTGCTTGAGGGCTGCATCCATACAAGAAATGACCACCAATTGTCCATGGCTGCATGTCATAAATTTAGCTGGCATGTGAAGGATGCAACATCGAAATTTTGACTGAACTGAGAAATCAATACAACAGTAGTACACTCGCTTTTAAAACTTGTCTACAAATAAACTCTTTCCAAAAGGTACTCATGGTGGAAAAGTCTTAACCAATCCCCAAACTGGATAAAAAGGTGAGAGATCAATACAAAGAATCACAGAAACAAACCTTATTTAGATTGCTTTATTTTAAAAACTTCAAGGCATGAGGTCCTATTTAAAAAGTGGCTATAATTTTGTAAACAGAATAGAAATGTTAATTAAAATTATTACAACTTAACAGAGGTTTCATGAACGAAAAATAATATAACTATAAAGACCAAAAAATGCACAGACATTGCAGCATGTGAACATGTTTATGAAACATTATTTACTACAATGGTTAATTATTTACACTGAGTATCAATATAACTTTGATGTTCTTTTTCCTTATTGCTCAATGCTAGTGTTTTCTGGCTAATATGATATGTTAGGACACTAAAATGCAATATTCACAGTTCAGCATATGGAGTTTATTTAATCAGGTCAAGAAACTGAGTTTTGAATTTAATGAAATGTGCTACCCATATTGTCTGCCATTTGGGGTGGGGCAGATAAAAAGAAAAGGGTACCTAATTGAATTTCCCCCAACTTACCAGGGCCTGCATCAAAGGATGCATGAATTGCCACTTGTGGGAACTCAGTTTCTGTCCCAAGCTTTCGTACTACAAACAGTTCACAGAAGGCAGTAGGTAGCCTTCAGTTTACAGGTGTATGGTACTGTACACAAATATGTACAAAAAGAATGTCTAAGTAAGTGCTCCTTTGTATTTTCATGCAACATACTGTTGAATGAGAAGCAGATTAGAGAGAGTGTTTTAAGCTTAGTACATAATATGCAATTTCTTGAAATGAAAAAGCCTTCATGTCGCTAATGCCATTCGTCCATATAACCTGCACCATGGAATTCTACCAATTATAACATATGGAATGGCTCTAAACCTTGTAGGGAATGACATATGATCCACCAGGTCATCTGGTTTAGATTTTCCACCCTGCCAATGAAACACTAGAGTTTCAGTTCTGTACATAATTTTGTTCTGATTGACAGTTCAAGGCACTTCCCTCCTGTTATCTGGGTTTTTTATTATAAATCATCCTGCCAACTAAGTTTGAGTAAAAGAACCAAATGATCTTTGTAATGGGGGTTGCCCACAATGCACAAGGGTGGGACTGGAGGGACGTCATGGAAATATGGACTAGTTTGACATTCAAGCTATCTGAGGCAATGCAGAGGATGTAACGGTGCACATATCCACAAGAAAACCTAGGGGTTGCACCTCAGAATAGTCTGCACAGACACAGAAGATTTTGGGGTGCACCTTCTCTGGAAGGCAAGCTGTCTTGAGATGGATTTGTCTGTTATGGAACTGAACCAAGATGTCATGTACAGTACTTTTAGACTGAAGGCAATGCTGCTTAGTTACAAATACATAGATTTAGACAGCTGTGGGGGAAAAGGCTGACAAAGCTTCTCCACATACTGTGGTATTGGATACAATACCTTCTAAATATTGCAGAAGCCAATGTAAGTAGTACAGGATATAAAAATACCAATATCTCTGTAACTCCTCACTGCTAATTAATCACTAGGAGGGGTGCTGTTATGCCATGTAAACAAGTCCCAAACTGTATACAACTGGCAATGCCTAATACAGAAGATGGACTAGAAAACACTTACAAAAATTCGACAGTATGTCAACAATGAAATTCTGCTTGCCACTATGACCAGCAGCCTTGGACCTCGTTTTGTTCACCAGAAAATATCTTAACATGTATTTGGCTTTTGCTCATCTGAAAAGATGCTTGCATGGCCCCTTTCATTGAGGAAATCTAGATTCAGCCAAGTCTGAATGTGGAATGATTTATCACCTAATACTTAAAGAAAATATGTTCAGCAGAAGAGAGTCCCACAGATAGATGAAAATGAGTCATGGGACTGGACCCCTCAGAATTATTATTATTATTATTTGAAGGCATGTATCTTAAGACACATTACCAAAATAACTGTTCATTTGTCATTTGGCACAACTTTACAATCATTTGAAATGAAATCAACATCTGCTTGTAACCACTCAACAAAGATTTGGCTAAAGAGGCACAAGGATTATATTCGTAACTCATTACCAGGAGCGTCAAAAACACTTGTGGATAGTTTTTCTCACAGCAGAAAAACTATCCATAAGAACACGTCAGTTTGGTTGCAGAAGAAAAATAAGGTTGGGATGGATGTGGGATTATACTGTGCTTTTGAAAGGGAATAGTTTGTGAGCTGTCATTTAAGAAACTCCTGTTACATGGGCCAGAAATAATGTCTACACATTTTTGGCAATATATCACAGCCATTATCTTTCATAATAGGCTCAGCACTAGGGTGCATTTAAAATTCATCTTATTCAGTACCACGAACAGCTTTAAACAGAACTTTAAACATCTAGATGTGTATATAAGGGAAGGTTTCAAGAGGAGCTCATTCAGTTGAAATGTCATCCCACTTTTAAGACCTGATTGTTTTCAAATCCAACTGGGCAGTTTGCGATAAGAAATTTCCTGGCTGGGTATGACACTAATATTTCAAGCCTCATATTTCAAACCTGGCCACTCTGTTGAAGGCATATCATGTCTTAGAATTTCCACCTGTGCAATGGCAGGTGTACAGAAGGACCAAGCAGAGGACTCAGAGTGAGCAAAGAACCACACAGAAACATTATGGGCAACTCCACCCATGGAGGAGGGATGTATGTATAGATATGAGCTCAATGTTCATATATACAAGGAAGTTCTTGCCTATATACACTCCTGAGTGTTAGCAAGAAGCTCTAGGATAAGGTTCATGAAGATGCTTTGCTCAACATCAGGTTCTCAATGCTGCTTCCCCATTTTAAGTCAAATACATGGTGTAAATGAACAAAATAGATCAAATCATGTGTATTTCTAATGAGCTTTTAGCCTCCTGGGTCTAGAATATGTTCTTACAGTCAAAGCTGGGAAATTTTCCCTGGTATTGGAGGCCTTATTTGAGCAGCCTCAAGTCTGGTGGCTGGTGGCTTCCTGTATTGTCTTTCCTAGTCTTTTGGTGTATTTTTGTAGGTATAAAAAGTATAATGAGAAAAAATAGATGAATGCTGATCTTTTTAGCCACGTAACAACATCCAAGCATAGGTTTGGTGATCAAGAGATGTTTTATCCCTCTAACAGACTGAGTTACAACCTCCTATTGAAACATTAACTACAATAATTTGGGCAAATCATTTCAGTTTGCTTACTCTTAAAATAATAGAATACAGTTTTAAGTCCAAAGCCTATGGCATGGAACCACATAATTTATTTAGACAACTCCAAGGGATTTCGTCTTTTTCCGTGAATACTAGCTCCTCCTCCAATAATCCAAAACAGAAGAGGATACACTGAATGTGAAACACCCCTCTCCATGTTTTCAAAAGGATTGGGGGCCAGCTGTGTATTAAATGCAAGCCAAGAGCACCCCTGGACTGTGGTTCTTTGGAGTCTGGACATATTCAAGAAATCAGACTTCCAGATGTTGTGATAACACCTTCCATAACAGGAAATATGTTGTGTTTTTTGCATTTGTTTAACAAAATGCACCTGAGCCCAATATTCGGTAGTGTGTACAACCCCATTATGGCGTCACCATATGGCACACAAATGGGTCTATAAAATCAGAAGTTAGTTTACAGACCTCAGACATAATACATCGATACAGAATAAAACAACAGGAGTTCTATTACATTTTGTAAACCTTGGCGCAATGTCACACTTTATATTATGCAATGAGGCAAAATATAACACAATACTTACAAACCCACTGTTTTAAATGAATTATCACCCCTCCCATGCCAACATATAAAATTTGCAGGAGAAAACTAGTACTGTTCATTGTAACTCTTCTGTAGGCAGATTATCAAACACTTTTATTACTAATTACTGTAACTAGTCTTGATCATTTCTGTCAAGAATCTGAAAGAATGTGATGTACACTGTGGCATATACTGGGTTTAGATTTATATTTGGAAAACGGCACATCTGGAAATTAATAAGGCAGCATGCTTAGAACAAGACGACAAGCAGCCCCGATATAATATTCCTAGTGGCAACTTTTATCACTTACTGTTTAAAAAAAAAAGTCTGGAGTGCACACAGAAGCCTTACCATTGAACTTTTTTTTAAATGTGCAAATTGTTTTCTTCCTAAAACAAAAGAAAGTAATAAAGCAAGGACGATAGAGCCCTACCAAAGAAGACTTCTCACTGCTTTTTTTTTTTAAAGAATCACAGCAAAATCGACCATCTCTCCAACGTCGCCTACAAGGCACTACAGGTAGGAAATGACAGGTAACATGTATGGTAATACTGTTCTCCTCAGTCAGGTCGAAATATGGGATATTTTGGTAAGAATTCTATTAGAATGACCTACAGAAAAGACAAAGATACATTAGGATTCAGTTCTTACTCTTTGGCATCTTGAGCTAGCTGTGGGGAGAAGCAGAGAAAACTGCCATGTCAGACTGCACATTCGAGCTTCCTGAAAGCACTCCAAAGCCTCGGGTGTTGCAGTGGCACTCTTGATGGAATCCGATGGGGCAAATTTAGTTTTTTAAAGGGCAATAAACTGGCTTTCAGTTGTTATTTCCTCCCCTAGGTGGCAGCAAGAGCTAAGGGGAGATTTAAATCTACTGTTCCATAGCTTCTCTGCCCATCTGCTTGAATCCGTATCAGTTGATCAGGCAAGATCCCAATAAAATAAAATAAAAATAAGCAAAAACATATAGCACCTTAAACACTAACTATTATATTCTAAGGCCAGCTTTCATGGACTACACAGAGTAACACAGCTCCCTCCTCCAAAACTACTGGTATTAGTTTATTTTATTTATTCTGGATATCCACTTTAAATTTAAATATAATACTATAGAGCAATAACCAGTAGGACAATCAGCTTTCAGCAAGCTAGCCATGTTATAGTCTGTTTCAACATGGGGGGGGGGAGGAGGTGGAAGGCAAGCAAAAAGAAAATCAGAACAGCTGCAGAGCCTTAAAGATGAATGGATCTAGTTCAGTGAAACAGATGCTCTTCAGGAAGTGGATTGTAACTCACAGAAGCTCACAATGAAATAAATCAGTTCGTCTTAAGGCACCATGAGTCTTTTGTTCTTGTCTGGATTTTTGCCACCCTACTGGATAAATTCAGATTTCCCAAACACACAAGGGCCAACACAAGATGCAATAAATCTAACCCACACAGATAATAAGAATATGAAGCAAAAAGAGAAACAAAGGGTGAGGGGCAGAGGAACATGAGCTTTTTCTTTTAACCTGTGAAACTGTGCCAACATGAGTAAATGGAAGCAATGAGGCAGCAACTGAGAAATAGTGTCTCACAATAATGGCTCTTTCTAAAGTGCCATTTGTGGATATATTAAAATAAACCCACAACAGGCAACTACTGCCTGCGACAGGAGTATCCCGCACCTATTTTAAACTAGGGCCAATGTGCTCAATCCCTCTAATTGATTCTGAAGCTAATTTTTTGGAGGGGGGGGCAAAAGATTGGCCCACTGAAAAATACATGACTAATCTACTCAGGTTTAATAAGAAGTGTATGGTGCTTGTTTTAAGTCGGCATTATTCTTATATGTGCATAAGAATCTCTTATCACCACTAACAGCAGTTGGGGGGGGCAGGGCGGAGGAGAAATAAATGCTTTTGTAGATGATAATAGAAAAATTGGAAGTACTTACATATTCCATCATATTGCTGGTTTCACACTTCCTTTTACTCAACTTCCAGTGCAAGCCAAGCTAAAAGTAGCAATATTTTGCATTATCTTAAGAGCAGCATAGTCTTTAGCCTGATACAATGTCACTGTATGCTTTATCTGTCCATTTGCCACAGTTATATTTAGTAAGATTTCACTCTGGAGGCACAAGGGAGCACAAAACCAGCCCTGTGGTGCAGGGGTTAAACTGCAGTACTGCATTTAAGCCTCTGTTCATGACCTGAATTTGATCCTGACAGGTTCAGACAGACAGCTCAAGGCTGACTCAGCCTCCCATCCTTCCAAGGAATCCCCATTTTGCAGGTGAACAAGATGTACCTTGCATAATTATATTGTAAACTGCCCAAAAAGTGCTCTAGCACTGTGGGGCAGTATACAGGAAGCAAACACACACCTAGTCCTCTGTGATGGTAAGAACCATTGTTTTGCTAAGGCCATGTTTCTTAAGGTTCTCATCTGCCCAGTCCTTAAAAGTGTCCCATGACTAAGTAAGCAAATGCAATAACACTGAGGGTTTTGAATTAGATGTGAAAGCCACGCATTAGCTTTCTAGCCCAGCTTGCCCAATCTGGGCTACTAGTCTGGCTGTCTCTGAATGATGCGGATTGTGACCCAACCAATCTAAAAGGCTCCAAACTGTGGAAGGCTGGCCTATTCTATTAACTTACAGACTTTACTCTGCAGTTCTGCAGCAAGGACGGTCTCACAGTAACAAACTGGAGAAGCAATCACCCAATTGGTATCGCCTCTTACCTTATGATACAGTCTGTTATTTTCCCATTCTAACAACTTTTGAATTGATCTTCTTGTCTATGAAAGAAAGGGAGAAATCACCTTACAGGATGTAGACAGAACATATGCTCTTGGCAAACCACGGCTATAGAATCTGCCCATTTCCTTGTGCACAATTTTGAGCAAACAATAATCCTTCTTCAATAATCCATTTGGCTTACAGGTAATTATGTGGCTTCAATATACTGGTGCCTTCTTTTTATTTTGAGCAGTTCTAAGAATTCATTACAAACGTTTTTCAAGTCGGTTCTCTCTGAAAGTGCACATTGATTTTAACACCTCTTCAAATGCATAGCAGAGTTAAACCAGGGTGCAAGACAACACAACTGAATGCATCTTGTAAGGGTAACTCAGAGGTTTATAGCAGGGCTGGACACAAAGAGCACAACCTCCTTCTCAACTGAGTCCATTCAAATTGCCAGACACAAGAGTGACTGCTCCCTGATGCACAGGGAAACCAGACCTTAAGGACAATGTATCACACCTTGTGTTCTAGGTCCTGTACAGCTATTTGGTTTTCTGGAGTGAATATTCTCTCGTGCTACTGTACTTGAATACCTGCGGTCTGAAGGTGAAAGGCTGGAAACATGACACAAGCCATTTATGTTAACTGATCTCACAAATGAGTGACAGAGGCTTTAATTAATGCTAGCATAGGAATCACTGGTAGTTTAGCTACTGATCAAGGTGGGAGAATTAAGAATCCTTGCAGTAATAATGTCAGAAATTATTACACTGACAGAAGAAAGAAAGAGCAACCCTTTTTTTCAATTAAAATTGAAGACACTCTTTACTCTCTTACATCTGAAAAGGCTTACTTTTTTACACAGAGGAGTAATTTGTTTGTTTATTGTTCATTTTCCCCCCGGAACACAGTTCCTAGAATTCTCTAGGGAATTCTGGATGCTATCATTCAAAAATAATGGGCACAGCTCTTCTTTTAGTGTTCTGAAAAGCAAGGATGGTTTGTTCTCAGACATACTTGGTCCCTACTTTTCTGTGCAAACTGCCACTCTGAGTGTGCTTCTTGATGGCCAGGAAGCAAGCAGAGTACTAACTCATGGAGAGACACATCAAACGTCCTCCTCTGTGGGTGAGCTAATCTTTGACATCTCCACACCAGGACTGATACAACCACTGCAGAAACATATCACCTGAGCAGAGGCTGAATGGCAGGAGGCAAAGTGAAAAGCAGTCAATCATGAAGAGACCCAGGAAGCAGCCTTTCGACAAGAGTAAACCTGCTGTATCTTTGTACTGGAAGCAACTGAACGTCCTGCCAATACAGGCTTAAATCCAAACCTACGGCGAGGTTACTAGGAGGAGAGAAGGCTATAGTGTGGACAGGAAGTGGACACGCTGACCATGAAGTTGCCTTTATAGGTGTCTGCTCTGCACTTAAGAAGCCTTTAATTTATTTCAAGATATACACACACCTCTCCGGTAAAATTCTAGTGAGCCCTGGCCAACAGTCCGGGAAGTGTGTCCTAGCAAACTGAAGGAGCACCTCGGAAAACAGCTGTTGTCTGGGTAGCTAAATATTTCAGAAGTCAGAAATTAAGGGGATAAGCAATGGCAGGTAGCAAATTGACAAAAGGGGTACTTACTCTTTTGGTAAGGCAGATGGCAGGCCAGAGGCTGCATCCCAAGGTGCAGCAGCAGCACAAGCAGCCACAGAGAAGCCATTTTACGTTGACAGGCAGATTCTTCTTTAAACATGCATTCACACGGCTGATACTAGTCTTGAATTCTTCCGGGGCAACCTGGAAGAAAAGGCAGCAGGAGAGATGGTGAACCCTCCAATGGCCACCACACATAAAATGGACAACAACTATGAGATACAGACTGAAAAACCAAACCCTCTCATACAGCCCTGGGGCATAGAATTTTATCTACATTGATTCTAGTAAGAATTTTTAGTGAAGTAATGTCTGAAAAAATATTAAATAATTTAAAATTAACTGTAACAATGTGTCCATCTCAATATAAACGTAACCACATTTCTCTGTTGGAAAGAAGACTATAAATCAAAATGAATTATCTTCTCTTGGCTATTTAGCCTTAAGAAAGTCTCCCTATGAAGGTAAGTATACTAGAACCTTCTGGTGCAAGAAAAAGGATATTGTCAGGTTTTACCATTAAGGTCTCCTCCTACCTCCACTGTCATGGAATGTATTGGGCAGAAGAATATAGTGATTTATCTGAATATAAAACCTAGGTATCACTAGTGATCAGTCTGAAAGAAAAGCAGCTAGTGGCCTTGTTTATGAGGCCTCAGCTAAGAATTTCCATGGCAGACTTAAGTGACATTGCTAGTATCTTTCTGCTGCAGATACACAACTATTTGCAAAGGAAAGTTATCATTATGTTATATTGTTATTGATTTTAGTATTATGTTTTACCAATATAATTGAACTATGATGCAGAACTGCTTCAGGGCAAGTGTCTTTCAGAACCAATCTCACACACATATGTTTTATATAAAACAAAAGCATTAAGAAGCACTAAGACTTCTCAGCTCCCAGGGACTGATGAAAGACTACACAGGACACGTTCACTAGCAAGAGGGAGTTGAATGCAGGAGGGGCTGCCTTTTATTTTGGAAACCTTTCAAGCACCCCTCCCCATGTAGAAAAAAAAGTGGCAGTCCTCAAAAGACAAGGAAACCAGATAATAGTAGCCCTGACTACAAAAGAGTTAAGAATGTTGGAATTCCTCTGGAAAACAAACTCAAAACACTCAGGCAACATTCTAAAAGACCAGTTCCTTTCAGGTCCAGCACACCATAAAAGGGACCAAGGGCGGAGAAAAGGATCATAACATTTTACAACAGGATGCTGGAGTGGAAGTGAACAAGCGAAGACCAGCAGGCCTGCTCTGCCTTCTTTGGCCAGCACCGTCGTCATCCTCCTCTATCAATCACACCTTGTGTTGAATCACAATGCCCAGGGTTCATTTTATGACCTCCACTTCCCTACATTGCACACCAATTTCCCCACAGAAGTCCTCTCTGTTTTAACAGGACAGGAAGCTGGATTCTCCCCCCCCCCCAGCCGCCTAATTAACTACTTCAGGTGACTGGAAAACACCAGGCAGACGGAAGGCCCCCTCGTGCAAACTGAAATTTGTGCCACAAAGAAAAAAACGAAAGGAGGAAACAGCCCACCTGCTTGAACAAAGTTCAGAAAAAGTTGTTATTTATGCCTGGGTTTCTGCCTGAACATGTCATTCTAGACAGCATGTTGCAGCTTGGAAGGATGATAAAACATATTAGGGGAGGAGAAAAGAAGTCATAGCTGAGGAATGGTCCATTTAAGGAACATGAGGGAAAATGAAGGGTCATCAAGCTGCAAAGGGAAAAGATGGCCATTGGCTTATTTCATTTTTTCTCCTCTCTAATATTTCACACTTTCTATTCCAAAAGGCCCTCATATGCCTTTGAGGGCTAGATTTCTTTGCCTAAATGAGTGAAAACAAAACACTCAGCTGTGGTATACTAATGAAGGTCCATCTTATATTCTCTATTATTACAATTGTTACAATTGACTTTTCTATCTTATCCTCAGCAAAAAATATGGGGGGGTTTTGATGGGGAATCTCAGAAGGCCCTTAGAATTAACTTTGTTCTGTGAAGCCCAATGTGTTTTAATTCCTTTGTCAGGAGCTAAACATACAATAAAAATATGTTTCGCATTATCACAACAGAACAATCACACTACACTCCTGTTGTTCAATGGTCTATATAAAATAACCAGCACTTTAAGAATACAGTGTGATCTGGATAAGACAGAGATACTTCATCTGGTATTATTCTAGGGTTTTTGGTCCTTCCCCTGCATGTGGTTTTATTGAATTCCTGCTACTTTAGCTTAGTTTAATTTTGCCCACAAACATTTCTCCTTTCCTCTCCACTCCTACTTCTATCTCACTCCTTACTTTTCTAAACTAAGTATCTTATACAAAATAGCAATTTTGGCAACTCAAAATGTTATTTGCTACTCTGTCTCCTTTTAGTTAGTCCCTAGTTAAGTTGCTCATACTGTTGTTGATTCTGAATAAAAAATATACCATTGTGTATATAAAACTGCATAGAAGCAGCAACACCCAGAAACAAAAACAAGCAAACAAAAAAGCAACCTTGAGATTTCAAAAAGAAAACTTAAAAGACAACCAACACAAACAGTATAATAAATCCTTGGACAAACTGGACTGTTTTGGCCTGACACAGCCAGCTTCATGGAAAACTGTATTTTCAGATTAAAGTGGTCATGAACTCCAACTTACCTTCCCTGTCAGAATAGAGGGAAATTCAGTGTCAAACTTGTTGCTCAAGCCAAACCTTAAAAACAAAAAAGAAACAGTATTTCCACCCAACCTACATTACGCTTCCAACTTCTACTTATTCTTTGCTTTTAAGATCAGAAAAACTGTTGCAATATCCACTTTAAAAGTCATCAAGTCATCAGAAACCAAGTGCCTTACTTCTTATTTCATTATTATAATCTACTGAGAGGCAATTAAATTTTTCTGTTTGTAAGTATCCACTCTCAGTTTCCTCAGTTCTTCATGAAAGCTTTGTTGGAGAAAACGAAAGGAGTCTTGGGCGTACTCCTATCACCACAACAGCTTCAGGCCTGGCTATCTTCTCAGTCCTTTCCCTTCTCAGGTCAGCACGTCCTCCTCAAGTTATCTCTGGACAACAAACAAGGAGCCATTTTTACATCACTGGATCCTTCATGGGATATGCTCACACTGCAGCACCATCTTGACTTTGCAACCTGCCTTGCACACACATTATAAAGCAGTTTGCACACACAGACCTCTGTGACTCTTTCAGCTTATAGCAATATTTTACAAACAGGGAGAAAATGGCAGTGGCCCATGTCAAACTGAACCATGGGTGAAAAAAATGCAGGGTTCAAAGATGTGCATCTTAAGCAAACACTGAGAGGGTTTTTGAAACCATCTTTCTCAGGGTTACATCTGCTTTCACCCTAGGTTAAAAAAAACAACAACAACCCTATGGAGAACTACTATACTTATTTCTTTATTCAATTGTTTATAGGCTGCCCTATATCGCAGGATCTCAGCGTGAGTTACAAAGCTGTAGGAAACAATTTTAAAACGTAAGATATTTAAAACTATTTAAACTCAAACAGCAGGAAATTGAAACATTAAAAAGAAAAGAACCTTTGCACTAAAACCTGTGCAGGTCATGATCCTCACTCCTCAATGGCTCTAATAAATAGGTATGTCTTCACTTGGTGCTGAAATGATGCCAGTCAAGCCTCCAAGCGGAAGGCATTCCACAGATAGGATGCTATGGCAGAAAAAGCTATCTCCATGTCATTACATAATGGACTGTTCTCGATGGTGGGACACAGCGGAGGAGCTCCCTGAGCAGATCTTAGTGACTGGGCAGGTTTTCACAGGGAGAAGCTTTCCTTCAAATATCCAGGTCCCAAACTATTAGCCACTCACGGCCACCTGGTACCATTTATTTTATCCTAGAATATAGTGGATTACACATCACTTCCTCAGATATATGGACGTTCAAAAATAAGGGCTTCAAAGCATGTATGTGCATTTTGGGAAATAGACTCTAAGGTCGTGCCAAGTGACTGCAGATGACAATAAATAATTCTTCAGCAAGCCAAACCACACGAGGCCTAGTTCAATTCAGCTCTTTGAGCCCAGTTGTTTGTTTATGATACATCTGACATGCTGTTGCACTTTTCTACACTTTAAAACTCTTGTAGGTTAGTACACAACGAAAACAATTCAACAAATCTCAGAGCTTGCTCTATGATCTTCCACATAGTTGCCATCTCTTTCAGTTTGATTTTAAGCAGAATTCAATTCATGCTTACACCAGCTACTAATGGGCTGGAGAAATACAATCCACAGAATTCCACTGCAAAAACAACATTTTAAAAGAACAGTAATGCTCAATCGCACATTCAAGTAATGGAAAGGGTGGAGTCGTGTGGTTGATCCAAAATATAAATGCAAGAGTAGGTGATACGGGATACCCAACGCCTACTCTTACGTTCAATTAACACTCAAAGTGTACACGAAAGTGGAAGGAAAAGAACCCAGGCACCTTGTTTTTCTTTTTCCTGGCTAGAGAGGTCCCACATAAACCAGGCTACAGTTCCATTTGTTCTTTTACTGCTGCGCTATGTCAAAACCTCCTACGGCAATAGCAGGGCTTTTGGCAAAGGTTGCTACAGAGATGGCACATATACAAATCAACAAAAAATATGATGCTACTGACTCTCATTTTAGTAGGGGAAAAATCACACGAAAAATTTGGCAATGAAAACGAAATATATGAATCCTTTTCTCTTTAGGGAATGATTGTTAAATACTGCCCTATATCTGGGGGATGGAAAGTTGCAGCATTCAAGCAAAGCAGAATCTGCAAGCCAAGGATAAAGTTTATTCAGCCGTCCTTCCATTTTGTGCAACAAAGAGTTCTGTGCAACTCAAAACACTTGCGGGCTCCTTCCCCATCAATCACTGGCAGCAGAACGAGCAGTTATTCTGTCTTCCGTTGTCTCTGGAGCCAACTTGGAAACAAGTTTCTATGCCAAACTTGTCCTGACAAGTCAAACCTATTCATTCAAAATAAGAAAAGGCTAGCCTGCCATTCAAATGTGCCCAAAATATATAACTGTAGTTTTATAAACACACACAATTAATGTGCCTATTAAATATTTGCCTACCTTGCACTGTTTAATTAAGAATGCTATTAAAGTGGACATTTGCTCATGTAATAGTGATACTGGCCTTACTGAGTAGCCAATAATACATCAACAGATGAAAATGATGCCTCAGTTGTAGACAACTTAATACCTTATTACAATTTATTCCTTGGATGCTGGTAATTTCTACAAAAAAGAAGTTTCTAGTTGTTACTTCAATTTAAAATGGGTATGGAAGGTACAGGTTCCTATACTGGCATCTGTCTGAGACACCTGAAGCTACCAACAGACTTCAGATTTTTTCTTTAAGTTTGCAATTTCCAGCAGAGTATTTTAGGTTAGGTCAGATCCTGAAACATTAAGGTACAGCCATGAGATTTTAAAGACTTTCCTGTTCTCACTGAACCTCAACTTCTGCAATGCTCAACTTGATGAAGACTTAAAAGCTCACTGTTAATGATACTGTAAGGTAAAGGTTCCCCTTGACATTTAGTCCAGCTGTGTCTGACTCTAAGGGGTGGTGCTCATCCCTGTCTCCAAGCTGTAGAGCCAGCGTTTTGTCTGTAGACAGTTTCTGTGGTCACGTGACCAGCGCGACTAGACATGGAACACTGTTACCTTCCCACTGTCGTGGTACCTATTTTATCTACTCACATTTACATGCTTTCAAGCTGCTAGGTTGGCAGGAGAATGATGTATTGCACTACCCAATAAAAACATTACACAGTCCTTTTTATTAATATTTTGCACATGTGTTTCTTTGATTATACTCTGTGAAAAAACACACAGTGTAGACAGGGCCTAACAAGACAGAATCGTGCATGCTGTCAAATTCTTACAGAAGAAGGGAAAAAATGGTCATGAGAAGGAAAACAAAGACAAAACTGCAGCTCCAATCCCAAAATGTACAACAGAGAACAGGCTTCTAGAAAAACAGTTATGCTATAAACTAGGCAACCATGAGCTAAATATTCTGCTCAAGTGTACATTATATTACAACAGGCTAATTTTTCTTTATTCCTTAGGGAAGAGTGGTTGGGTTTTTGTTTTTGTTTGGTTGCTCTTTTAAATTAAGCAATGCTAAAACTCACTAGAGTAAACAATAATTCTCTCAGTGGTTTCAAAGGAACTGCATGCTTTGCTTGGTAATTAGGCTCTGTATGCAGATGCGCTCAGAGGCATGGGAGCTGCTTTCCATTTTGCTGTAGGAGAATGTAATGGAAGTGACAATTTTTCCACATTTTTTTGTGGCTGGTGAAGTCTTAGGTGGGCTCTGGAGCAGAAAGCTGGACCCTGGATCTTCCAAAGTTCTTTATCCATACTCTACACAATCTTTTGGCCCATATAAATGGAGACAGTATTCACACATATGCCACAGGTGTAATAGGAAGTGGTTTACACATCATATCACTGTGTGATGTGTGTAAGAGAACTTACATATACAGATGACCCTGACCAAGGATAAAAGTTTATTTAATTCAGAGAAGATACCCAGTACCTGTACTCCAACCAAAAGTGGAGTTGCAATTCATGGAGAAACTTTAAAATGTTTGCATTAAAAGTATTAGCTATCCTTATTTATTTACATCTGACTTATTTAAGCCAGCATACTTAAACCATAATGTCAAGAAACGCATGATCTAAATCAAAATAACCATGAAAACATAAGAACAGCACTTAATTCAGACCTGACCTCAGAATGCTCACTTTAACAAAACTGTTTCCAGATAAAAATGGAAAAAGGAGTTAGATCTATGTCTGAGCAGAAGCCATTTTTCACAGATGAAAAAAAAGCTCTCTCTTTCCTATTCAGCTGATGCACATTTGATAACAAGTGGACCAGAGGGATGGGCAAGACTAGTGAGAGAAGAGCCCTATAAATACTCTGAACAACTCAGGCAGATTTATGTTAATATACATCCCAATGATACCACCAAACCTGCTGGATATGAAATCTATTAACTCTTCTACAGATCTGTATGTCACAGACAGTTCTTCTAACAATCATCTTTCAACATGGATCACTGAAATACTCAGATTTTGCTAAGGGAAACTCCTCTGTCTTTAGACAGAACTGCACTCACTTTGGGAAGCAAACTCCGGGCACAGCCAATCCTGTCAGCTCTGTGGGGTGAAACCAAGGCAACAGGGAATAATTCCAGAACAAATGCATTTGCCTCCAAGTAGAGAACTATATTGTTTCTGAAAATGGATTTACCACTTAGCTATCAAGGATAATGGGCACAGATAATAATATCCACCAAAAATTTGTTTGACCTTGTCTTAAAGCTAAGTATGTGGCCTTTACCACATCCTGTAATAAGGAATCTGACAAATTAATTGTGTATTGAGGGGAGAACTATTTCTTTTTATATGTTACAACATATGGGCTAGTAAGAATAAAAACAAGATACAATAGTAACATTAAAATCCGAGAGATAAAAGTAGTTCTATAGACATCATTTGTTATAATCTATTTACTGCTATATTTTGCTTTTCCTCTAACTCAAAGCAATGCATATGGTTTCCACACCTCAAACATAGGCCAGTGAAGCACCAAAGAATGCAGTGTGCCTCATACCATCACACCTTTTAAAGATCCACCACACTTCCTTCATGTAGTTCCTATATACACCCTGCCCCTGAAGAGCCCGCTGGTCAAAGGAAGGCTCTCTGCCAATTCTCAGGAACCTTCTCTCCATCCCGAAGGCCTCGGCCCTATTGATTAAAAAGAAGAAGAAGAAAAAGGGGTGGTGGAGGAGAAGAAGCCCTATAAAAATGACCCAGGTCACACCCGGGAGGCTCTCGTTTCAATAAATCCACATAGCCCTTGCATTTTATGTTACAAGGAGAAGAACTAAACAGCATCTGAATCAAGGCTTTTTTTGGGAGGGGGTCAGTTCTTCTCAAAGATGACTAAACAGCATCTGAATTAAGGCTTTTTTTGGGGGGCGGGGGGGGGTCAGTTCTGCTCAAAGACGTCTGCTTGTCATGTTTGATTATCTAGTGATTTTCCCCCCTCCTCAAAAAGAGGTCCTGGAGAAATCCAATATAAACTCAGCCCTGCCTTTTGGGTGCTCTCGACTGGTATACTGTATGTTGCAAGCTTTGTGCTGCTTTGTTGTTCTGCTCTTTCATGTTGCTCAATTTGTTTTGCCTTGGACCATAAATAAATAAATAAAAAAGTGTGAGTCTCCTCTTCACCGGCCACTCTTACAAGTGTCCCGCTTGCGTGAGCGCCTGTCCATCTCCACCCTTGTCAGAGTGACTTCCACAGGACATTTTTTGGGGGGGGGGCTGCCCTGAGCATTGCCTACAACATCCCTCCCCCCCCCTTTTTAATCCCACAACCCAAGATGCCTTCTCTCCATCTCTCTCTCTCTCAGTCTCTCCCAGATGGGGAGGGGGCTTCGTTCTACATCCGAAATTGACTGATGAATGGATTCCTTCCCTTCCCCCCTCCCCCCCCCGAGCCTGCCATTCAGCCCTAGCCACGCAGGTCTAGGGGAGAGGCCCTCTGCACTCGCTCAGAGACCCCCTGGCCT